CGTCGACGTTTCGTATCTATGATTTAGATTTAATATGTTCGCTTAATAGACCTCTGCATGTTAGTACAAACTACTATTAGTGCAAACAAGTACGAGGTATGTCAAAAAAAGCGATGACTTTTCGAAATTTCGTAGGCTATGTATTTTCGATTTTCGATTTTCTTTTCCTTTTTTTTTTTTTGTTATCGTAGTGCACATATTTGTTTTTGTTTTTGGTAGATATAAAGATTACAAGTGTTTTAGTTTGCTTCGCAATTTTGCTATCGAAGAATGTGTATCGAAGAATCCGTATCAAATGTTGTGTGAAAAATAAAATTAAGTGCTCAGCTCACTCAAAATGTTGATAGGGGCATTTGCCGAGCCTGGTTTGACCAAAAGAAAGTGTTTATAAGTGGTGGAAGCTGTTGATAGACGTGGCCTGGCCGGGACGCACCAGGATGTCGGCAACAGATAACAGCTGAAGCAGCGAACAGATATGTCATGAAGAATCATCAAATCATTCTTAGCAAAGTTGCTTAGGATGTTGGCGTGACGGTTGGCTCATGCCATGCATTTTATTTTTGGAAATTTTGCAAAGTTTGTTGTAAAATTGCTAAATTTTGATCAAGGGAACCGTTGAGTTTTTATCCAAAATCAACGTTGTAATCATGTCTCGGCCACCGTATTCACCGTACTTCGCCTGCTGCGAGTTTTCCTGTTTCCAAAGTTGAGAAGACCCTTGAAAGGACGGAGTCTTATGACATTTAAGGAGATGAAGACCGCATCGTTGAAAGAGCTCAAGGCGATACCAATAAGGACATATCAGAAGTACGTCGGGAACTGGAAGAAACGCCGGCACAAGTGTTTTACATCTAAGAGCGATAACTTTAAACGAGACGAAAGAGATATTGATGAATGAATAAGTATTTTTCGGGGAAGGTAAAAAGTCAAATTAAGCAATTTCAAAACAGAAGTTTTTGTTCGAATAGGCGCGTGGACGCTGTAGACGTGTCCTTGGCAAAAATTTAAGTCACTTAATATTCTTTTCCAAACTTGAAGTCGATAACTCAATTTTTGCGACCAAGAGAATACTTACAACAGACACTAGATACACGGACAGACGGACATCCTTAAATCGATTTAGAATTTGATATTAATCAAAAGTGTAAATATACTTTGTGGCATCTCTACTGCGTCCCTCTAGGGGTTGGAAACGTTTCGACAACATGAATATTTTCCCGATCCTTCAGTGATGAGTATAAAAATGATTGGTCCGAAGCCATTCGAGAGCTTGTGATGTTAAAAAACTTCATTCTTTCTGTCCTTTCTCCCTTCTAAGAATTTTTTCCTACATATTTCCAAAACAGTTGCTCATCTAAGAAAAAAAAAAAGAAAGGTCAGCTCCGCGATGTTTCGAAATTCGACACAGATGACAGAAAAGAGAGTGCTCACATTATATGTCATAGGTATGCGCATGCGTTCACAACATCAGAGATTTGAAGTTGCTCGAGATGTGTGTACAAGTTTCCGCCAGTACGCGATGATATTTGTCCAGGCTTAGCGTCCTTCCTTAATTACAAATTAAATGAATATATCTGCAGTTGAAGTCAAGGAATTGTTATACTTTTAAGAGCACCCACACACACACACACACATACACACACAACTAAGAGTAAAGTGAAGCTTAAACTGGAACCAATTATGCTTCTATCGCCAGCTCGAAATCATTCGAGTGTAAAGGTAAAAATCACGCTGTTACATAGCGATATACGCCCGCCTCTTGTTATTGGTGCATAAATTAATTGATCTAGACAAGGATTCTAGTTACCTAAAAAAGCAAGAACAATAACTCAATATATTTGTGCCCGTGTAAAAATGCGGTCAAGGAATGCATTCTAAGTATGTCTAGACTAGAGGAAAGATTCACCCTTGAGCCCAGTTCTAACCACATGTTTTCGATGGCGCGAAAGAGAATTGAAAGAGAAGCGCATTGCACTAATCTTGACTAGAGCTTATGAAAGGAATAGAGGAGCAGTAAACTGATAGTGAGAGCACTTATTCAAAGCAAAGATAGCAAAGAACTAAGAACATACCAAAAATTTTTAGACAATTGCGATAATGAAATGAAAGAGTAACAACTAGTTACTTAAATTAATCATTTTAGTATACAATCTAATCCAACGATAAGAACTTGAAAAATTAATTGCAATTAAAATCAAAAAAAAAAAAAAAAAAAATTACGTAATAGTGCATGATAGTAGTTGAGAGCTCAAATTATTGCATGCTTTACAAGTTCATGTCCATTGTGGCATGTCATTAACAACGTATACGAAAATAAGTTATAACAGACCAAGGTTAAATTTAGCGGTATTTACTCAATCATCATAATAACACAATATTCATGGCAGTAAAGGCTAATGGTAGTAAACATGTAAGAGAAGTATTTGCACGCTGAAGCGAATCTTGAGTACCCAACAACTTAACCTACAGAAACAGTTGATTTAAAAGTTTTAACAAAGTTAGTTATAACCCGAGACTTGAAGGTTGACATTCCATGCTTATATATCAGTCGCGACAGGGGTAAGGTATTGCCAATCGCGGAAGTGGTTAAATACCGTTAACAATATCGCTATAATATTTCATATTGCGGCATGCACAATTTCATTTCAAAGATAATAGGAACTGAGCTGAAAGAACGATTCGACAAAGGGAATAATAAAGTGTTATACCCTTTCGCCTTTAATACGTGCTGAAATGTATACAAAATTACAATAATAGTTTCGATTTTTTTCTGTATTATGTATTATATACAGAAACGTAGTGCATGTCCATCACAATGGAAATATGTAAACATCCTTGCGACATTCAATATGTAGTGAAATATTTAGAAGCAAGTGAAAACGTTCTATACGCCTTAGAGCCGTGGCAGTCTTAGCTGCTAATGGTCATTCTACTTTAAATTCTAGAATTTATTCATTTGATGCCTTTGATAATATTAGTAATTTATACGTCTTACGGGGAACTCTTTGATATTCACCATTGACGTTTTTACTGGCTGCGCAAAATTGTGTTATTATCGTGTCTTGGATCAATATCTCTCACAAATTGCAAACTACGCCCACGCCCATCATCTCCTTGAGGTTTTAGATAAAAGTTTATATCGAATTTCAAAACGATATCAGCTATGAATTGCAAACTGGGGCTTGTTGCTTGTTACTACATAGCTCGCTGATGCAGACCCGTCCATTTGCAAATTTGTTTTACGAAAATCAACTTAATTTAATTTCAAATTGGTGGACTTGTTTGTTACATATAATCACTACTGGTGGTCAAATATAGTCCATATAGATTAAGTATCACGTATCATTTAGAAGCCGTTCCTTATACGTGAAACACGCTGACGTTCGAAAAGTAATTAGGAAAAAGATATAGGATAGAGAGTGACCGCAACTCTTGGCACAACCGAATGCACACCTAATTGGTAAGTGTTAGGGCTTTACCGACAGGTCGCTTGCTATAGCTATGACCAAGTATGGTCTACCGCACTGCAATTTATTTCTTTATTGGGCTTTCAATATCATCTTTCAATTTTATAACGACATCTATTGGTGAAAATGATAAAATAATACGAAGTATCAATGAACGCAACGGTTAAATTCGATGATTTTGAGCTTTCTCTGTATAAAATAACAATTTTCCATTTAGCACTATCGTGTTATTCAGAGTTATTCAGTGTATGCTAATCATCGAACGCTCAAAATTGCATTTTTGACATTCATTACTTTTGTTGTTTGATTTGAAGAAATCTGCTGCCGAAGCGAATGTATGTGTCATGTACGCGTTGCAAGCGTTGTCAAAGATACACTGTTGCAACTTGAATGGTAAGTTCTTTCGCACCCAGTGTACTCATCAGACATAGCGCCTTCTTATTGCCACATGTGCAGATATATGCAGCATGGCTTAGTTCGTTGAAGAAGCGCGAAAATAGATTGATGCCAAAACAATATTCTTACTTTCAACACGATAATGCCATGTTGCGAGAAAGTTAGCAAAAAGTTGTAGAAAATGATGAAAAATATTTTTATTAATGTATGTATATTGTAAACAAAAATGTCTTCGTCACGTGAAAAAATGATCAAAATACATGCGAGCATTTAATAGTAGCCCGTTATGCTTCGGCGATGGATGTAAGAAAGCACGTGTGAGAAATGGCATACCTAGAATAATTTATAAAAATATGAGATATATCCTAAGAAGCTGTTTAGGCTCTTTTCCGATCAACCGATAAGGACTTTCAAGTTAACGGCAATAGTTTAAAATATTTTGTCTTTTATGTTTCCTATTATTTTGATGTGATTTTTTTGTTGTGGATACGCAAAGCCTGTTTTTTATATTTTCATCTAGTTTTTGCGATTTTTAGAAGCTTAACGGTTCTCTGAACACCCGAACCTATGAAGTGCGACCTCATGGAACTCTAAAACACCCAATGGCCCCAATGTGTCTATAAGACTTGTAGTGTGCACATGCAGCAATTAATCAAATTATTATCAACTTTTAACAAGTTGACTCAGTCAGCAAAAAGCGTTACTATGTGAGACGATAGCACATGATCCAAAAATTGCACTTGTACTTAGGTGTAAAGAAATTGTTGAATAAATCAAATGTTGCTACGCTATTGAACAGAGTATTAAGAGTGGATTATAAATGTGTTTCTGTGTTTCGATCATTTCATATGATCTCTATACCGCGGGCCTTCGGTTGAATTTGTATATAATACGCTTAAAAAGCTAACTAAATACAATCCTTTACGGGAATTCTCTGATGCATATTTCTGAACTTTCACAGAAGCATAGCATAAGCAAGAAGATAAAAGTGGCGTAGATTTATTTGATCTTTTAGGTAAGATATATAGAAAAGTTAAGAGATAAGATAACAATATAATATAAGAATAATACGTACGTGAATGTATGTATATACTTATGTAGGTCACTATGAGTAAAATTTCTTATCGATCTACTTACCAAATGTAAAACGGTATTAACGACTTCGCGATTTGTCACCTGCCCCACTTCGATGAGACCAATGAGCACAGCGAATTTCAAATTATCGGTGGTTGTCATTCTTACAATTTCATCCGGCCGTTTAATTTCATTAAACGGCGGACGTATTAAGTCCGCCATATTGATAGCTTTTATTTGCGGTTACTTTTCTTATCACTTATTATTTTTAACACTATTGCTGCTGTTGCAATTTTTATCTATATATATATATTATTTGGACTTTTGTTTGACTGTTATTATTAAAATGTTAATATTTTAAATTATTTCATTTATACAATTTTTGAAATTGAATTAATTGTTTTATCATATTTACATAAATGATATGATCTTATGGATGATAACGACGATAATGACGATGATGATAATAAAAAGGAGGGCGATAATAGTGCCGTTCCAAAGGGCAGACAACACATTTCAACTCAAATACATATATATCTATATACATAAATATGTATTTCTATACATATATATATATATATATATATGTATGCATGCGTGCATACAAATGAACGCACACAAAATTGAAGAATTTCTTTGTATCTTAACGGCGTTGCAGAGTTCGTTCGTTGTGGAAATTTCTTTTCTTTTTAGTTTTGTTTTTGTAACAACTTTCGCGGCAAAATGAAGTTTTAAGTTTGGCTGTTAGATAAAAAAATTTTTTTTCTTCTTTTTGTTGAATTTTTAGCTTTTTTTAAATTTATTTGCCTGTGATTAAGTTACCTAAGTACCGTGGTAATTAAAATAACTTTTGTTTTTGCTTACGTTTATTTATTAATTATGTCGTGAGTTTTTTTTTTTTTTTATTTTGCTTTGCTTTATTTTATTTATGTTAAGTTATTTTTGTATTCATTTCTTTTTTTTTATTTATTAATTTATGTATTTTTTCATTTTTTTTTTAATTTTTTCTTTTTATTTATGTGTTTAAGTATTTATATTTTTTTCTATTTATTAATTTGTTTTATTATTACTATTTTTTTTTTTTTTTTTTTTTTTTTTTTTTTTGGAATAAGTTATCAAGTACTGCAGTAATTTACTAAAGGTATATAAACTTGATTGATTGATTGATTTATGTTTTCAATTATTTTAGCGATATTTCATTTGCATTATAAGCCAGTTGTAGTAAAAATTTATTTAATTATTTATTTATTTTTTTTTTTTGGTTATTTTTTTTGTTTTACTTTTATTATTTACTTAATCGTTGAAATTTTTTTTTTATATTGCACTCGATCTTTGCTATATAGACAATAACTCTGGTTGGATGCTTTTCAGCGAAATCAAACTCCAATTAATTCTTAATAACTCTTCTTTTTTTCTTATCTTTCTTTCTCTCAAATATTTTAATTCGTTTTTAAAATAAGAGTTCGATAGGCAAACACACACGCATATAAATAAGTTAGTATACGTTTATTTGATTTACCATTTAATACTGAAAAAAAGAGACAAAACAAGAAGAAAGAAGCGTTAATACGTATCGATAGCAGAGCAAGAGAATACATCAACACCATCAACAACCTTACAAGTAATTGTATGTCAACGAATGTTATGTAAATAAACATAAGAAATTATGTCAAATATCTCAAATGTTGTTTATCGTATTTAATTTCCTTTTTATTTATTTATCTTTTCTTTTTTTTTCTACTGTTATTTGTGACTTGTAATAATTAATTATTTAGAGTTTCATTTTCCACATAAACTTGAATGCAAAATTTACGATTCCTACCTCAATGTTTGCAGCAGCGAGCGCCAAAACAGTAGACAAACGGGCGACAAGACGCATGGACACATTAGTTGTTAGTGCGTCGAGACAAACTGAAATACATGCTTTCATGCCAGGTATAAAGAAACGAAAACGTATACGTATAAAGTTTTTAGTCTAAATCTTGTCCTAAGGTGTTTCGCGTATCGCAAAATATTTACACTTAGTTGTGGAAAGTGTTGATTGGACAGTTAACAAAAGTCAAATGACTTTTCAGGTTACCTTGTGAAATATTTAGCCAGGATGCAAGTGATGATTGGTATGTTAAAATCTTTTGGTTTTCTTGCAAGCTTATCAAAGATATCTTTTCATTGAATATTATTAGTTTGGGGAAAAAGAAATCCATTATTTTTTCGGTAGATGGCTGCACTGATAAATTTCTCGTAAAGTATCGATCAAACAATTTCCGATACTGTACATTTACATACTGTACATACTGGGTGCCACACCAATTAACAGAAAAAAACATGATGGATCGAATTTCCATCTGCGAAGCCTTGGCCAAACGGAATGAGATAGACCCATTTCTTAAACGGATGATGACTGGAGATGAGAAATGGATCACATACGATAACACTGTGCGAAAACGATCGTGGTCAAAGAGCGGTGAAGCACCTCAAACGGCCAGGAAGGTTTTACTATGCATTTGGTGGGACTGCAAAGGGATTATTTATTATGAGTTGCTTCCATATGGCCAAACGCTAAATTCTGATCTCTACTGTCAACAACTGGACCGTTTGAACATAGCGATTGACCAGAAACGGCCAGAATTGGCCAACAGGAGAGGTGTCGTGTTCCACCAGGACAACGCTAGGCCACACCCATCTACAGTGACTCGCCAGAAACTTCGGGAGCTTGGTTGGGAAGTTTTAATGCATCCGCCATACGGTCCGGACTTGGCACCAAGCGATTATCATCTTTTTCTTGCATTGCAAAATTTCTTTAATGATAAAAAATTGGAATCTAGGGAGGATTGTGAAAATCGACTACTAGAGTTTTTTGCAAATAGAGACCAGGACTTCTATGAGAGAGGCATTTTGAAGTTACCTTTAAAATGGCAACAAATCCTACAACAAAACGGTGCATATTTGACCCAAATCGGACAATCCGAAGCATGTTAAATAAAGTCCTGAAGTTCATGTAAAAATAATGGATTTCTTTTTCCCCATCCTAATATTTGAACATAATTAAATGCATTTTAGGGTTGAGAGTTTTAGTAGATCTGACAGGTAGATGTGTATGCAGCAAAGTTGCAAGTTTCGCTTACTTTGCCTTTTGTGGGTAAGTGCGATTGTTCTAAGCTTGCTCTTCGAATGTCAATTAGAAATGCATGTGCATGAGAAGCGTGAACGTTTGCCCTTCGGTTTCGCTACCACGGGAATTGCAATGACAGATGGAGGTAAATTGTCGGTCGAACATAAATAAGTCGATTGGAAATTCGAGTTAATCATGGCAGGCACGTAAGCTTTAAAAGAATATTTAAAGGGCATTTATACGTATTTGGTACGAGGTAACTCATTCACATGGTACATCTGCAACTTTTTGTGGTAAGTAGAAAAAAACTCATATTCAAATTAAAATCCATTGTACTTACAGCGAAAAAAGATTCAAAATGTTGTCGAGTTATTTTTGAATAAGCTCAAAATGAAAACAACGGATTCTTTTAAAAAAGTAGAGCTTACCAGTAGACGCAAGTTTTATTGCCCAGAAAAACATGAGAAATTTTCATTGTTCTTCTACCGTCTCAAAGATCTCAAACAAGAAAGAAAATTATGTCCGGCTGCAGCCAAATCTCTAAAAGAAATTTCAATATTCTATAATATTGAGAAGGCTTGGCCGATTTGTTGCTTTTTTATACAAGTGCTGCCAGACCGGTTATTTAATATAAATGCAAATGTTTACTTTTGTATCATATGTAACGAGCAAAAAAAATCAAATTTTTCCTACTTTTGGAAACAGAAGTGGTGTCAAGTTATGCTGCAGTATGGGCATATATTTTGGCCGATTTGGGATAATTTGAATACTGACCCGCCCACAAAAACCTTTCAATCTTTGTTCCAAATTTAAAGCCGACAACTTTTTCTTTACGCCATGGAGAATGCCTACTAAGGACAGACGAGCATGTCCAATTAGATTTAGAATCAAGACTAAACATACATAGCTGAAGTTTCCCCCTAAATGTTGCAAAAGTTTTAACGCAATCAACATAAGCCTCATCTTTCGGTGATGGGTATAAGATTTTGTTTTTTTTAACTAAACTCGATACCATATTTGTACGCGTCATCGAAGCTTTTGGAACACATAAAAGGAACCTTTAGAGAGGGAATAGAGTACTCGTAGTGAACTGCCTTAAGTATCAGTCCCTTCGTCTGTCCTTTCTGTGATGTCTGTAGGAGATATTCTCCTGCCCACATCTTCAAGTTTCGCGAAAGAAACTCTGGTAATTCTTGCGTGAAGGTTGGTATTGAAAATAAACTAAATCGATCCACAGGCCGTGCCTACACTATGAAGTAAACTGACAATGCGTTGGCTTTTAAAAGCAAAAAAAACTTTTTTTCGCGCGTTACACCACCACGGATACAACGATAACAAATAAGGAAATTAGATTCGGCTATGACCGGTTCTTATAGACGATTTCAAAAAAAAGATATAATAATGAATAAATGAAATTTCGTAAATTAATTACAGTAGGAGGGTGTACGTCAATTTTCTCCATTTTTCTACAAATGCTGTAAATTCGCTCACAGACGACACGTGAAACATTTTATCACTATCTCTATTTTAGGTATGAGTCATGAGCAAAAATCGCAATTATTTCGCTGTTGAAAGCCAAAGAGTACTCTGTCCACGTCGTATAGCGGAAACGGATTCTTTCACTAAATTCGCCAATTTTCAATATGAGCTTGTCTGTCATAACTCGCAAGTTAACAGAGACTATGAGCTTGGATGAGTTCAGTATTTGACTCTGATTCTCGAGATGTACGTATTATATATTTTGTAAGTTTTCTGACGCTTTCTTCATTTGGACAAAATGAGTAAACTTGCTGCCTATCAATGGCGGCTACAAGCGCGTATATTCACGTATATTCAATGGATAATCTTGCAATACCTGTACAAAAATGGAAAATTGCCACGCCCACGCAATATTACAAAGTGTCGTTATTTAGTTTTTTTTCGATTTTTCTAGAATAAAACCGGTGAGTACAAGCCCATGTCGATCGTAAGCGAATGCATTTTTGTTACTGCTTTTTAAATTGACATATTTCCGAAAACTGTACATGTTTACCTAAAGAATGTTACTATAACAGTTACACTGCTTCATCGTTTGCTATTGAGGATGGGACCAAAAGGGTGTTTCCAAAGAGCCGCTGCGGTAGTATTTTGCTTAATAAGTAATTAGTTAGTTAAGTGTCAAGTATCCTAGAAAATATACAGCCATGTGTAAAAAATGTATTCCAATGGATTGCTTAGTCC